CGGCGCGACACGCACAGCCCCCAATCAACGCGAGGCGTCTTCGTCCTCAGCAACGGTTGGCGCCCCCGACAATGAGCGCCAGCAAATCCTCTTGCGCCGAATTGGGAACAGAGAGCGTTGGTGGACCGTCGAACTAGGAGTGCGCCGCGACCGCCAAAATGGCTGCTGGTGCACGGGCGTCGGAAACCTTTACATCGCCAGAGCAATTCCGAAGTCGCGCCATATGTCGCCCACGCACTCTGGGAGGCTGGGATTCGGGACAGAGACGCAAACCAGGGCCGGCGCACGGGCGACGCTCGGGCGACGCACTGAACGAAAACTTGAAGGGGGGGGGTGGTCGCTTCACTGGGCCTTAACAGGCGGGCACAGGGCGACGCCACCTATCGCGCTGGCCTCCAGCACCCTGCACCAGGGGGAGGGGGCGCCAACCGCGCGAAGATCTCACAGCGCGCCCCGTCAATGGGATACTTACTCTAGCTGCAGAGGCAGCCGCGCAGTCGCCCGACGTGACCCTGATGGGATTCGCCTGGCCCGCGGGGCGCCCCAGCGCTGATAGCTCAGACCGGGCGCGACTCCCCCGCGGGGGCCGCGGGGGGGGGGTCGCGCAGTGAACGACCGCGAGCCGCGAGCTAGGACCGCGCAACGAAGTCGTAGCGAACCACGGTGAACGAGGTCCTCGTTCACCGTGAGTCTCCCTGCCAACCTCCGTAGGTGTCCTTCTGCCACGACTTGTCTTGATCGTCCGTCCACGACTTGTCAAATCACCATTCCATGACTCATCGCGTCAGCGGCTGCTCCCTGAGCACCTGTTGTTCCCGCTGGCACTGCCAGCATCGCGATAGTCTCGCCCTGGCTTCAGTGCCATCCCAGCGACTGCTTGAAGAGGAAACACCCCGGCTGCCTGTTCCTCCGTCCTTGCTGCCACCGCGTCCTTTGCCTCTTCCTGAGGATTGGTATTTATCAGCAGGGACGGCTTCGGTGCCACCAGGCTGCCGCATCCCCCCCTGCCCGCTCTCCTCGGAAGCATCACCGGAGCGCCTAATGCCGCGGGCTCTCGATCTCCGACGATCATCGCGCTTGCCGGACCAACCGCGCCTGGAATCCGAGTCTGTCGGTTCTCGCCCAGCGGCCTCGGCCAGGCCACAAATCTCTCTTGCGGCCCCCAGATGACATGCCTGACGCGCCGCGCGCCTCCCGTTTCTGTCGGGGGCCGACCTCGGGGGGGCGGCAAAGATATAATCGATCTGCTGCTGGGCAACGCATTCGCTCCTGGTCTCGCGAACGCTTGGGGCTGAAATTCAAGGCGATCCCGCAACATCCAGACAGCTATCGCGCGATGCACCACTGAGCGTTTCTCGATCGCCCGATCCGTCCTTTCCTGGGCGCCCATTGGCCTCTGATGCCCACGGGAAGTCCATCCTCTTCCTGGGATGGCAATGACATCTTGCGAAGAGTCGAACCCGTTGGATACGCGACAGCAATTGGGCCCAGGAGGGATGGGCCTCCAGGAAGGATACATCAAAATTCGCCATCAGGGATGGGCCTCCATACGTCCAAGACCCCTCCACATTTCGCCATCAAAATCTTGCAACGCATACGCAATACAGTCGCGAAGTAGCGGCTCATTGTTCCCCCGCCCCACATGCCCACGGGGTCGGCGCACTTACTGGACGCCTTGATTGCTGCGCATATCGAAGCTCGGGAAAGCCGCATTTACCATCCGCATGCCAAGGCAAGGGCCGCTCGGCCCTCGGTCGCCCCCGCTCGGCGATGATCACTCGTTCGAGCGTTCCTGCTTCCGTCTCGGATAGGAACAACTTCGTCGTCTCCGCGCTCAAGAACCTGCGGGCAAACATCGCCTCTGGGCGTGCTTCTTCCGCCACCCCCACATCCGTCTCGAATTCTATCGAAGCGGGAGGTCCCCTAAAACTTTTGAACAAGGAAGGCCCTGGACTGGCCAAAGGCCAATGCTCGGGGAAGAATTTCAAGCTCCCACGATCAGCGATCCAAACATTGCTGTGCCCCGCAGACTTGTTCTGCACACTGTCCTTCAGGCCCTGTCTTCATTATTCCAATAGCGCGCGCTGTTGAATTCAAAAACAGCATTCCTGCCCTTCTCCAACGTGCTAGATGCCCGCGGTTCTCTGGCGTCGCACATTTGGCCAAATCACAAACTCTCGCAAAGCTTACAAAACGTTTTCATACTTCGCGGACCACTCTTTCCATCCGTCACCCAGATTTATGTTTCCAGCCTGTCCGGATTCGGCAAAGTCCCAATCAAAGACATTCAACGGACCGAATCTGGAGCATTCGGGTTCGGATCGACTAGGGAACAAAGTTCTGGATGCGCCATGAGATCATCTCTCCCGCACTGTCGTGGTCTGAGTCGGCGTTGCTGACATACGATTGAAATATTTTCTCTAGTTTGCCAAACTTCTGCATGAGAGGCAGGGAGCAGGCCGCGGGCGCACACCCCACAATTTCGGCGCCCAGGCAAGATGCGTAAAGTGGCGGGGTCCTCGGACCCATTCCTCTCTTTTGGTGATCCATTCGTCGCACATCTCCTTGCGTCGCCCGTCTTCGGTGATGGATCGGGTCTATTCGGTCCCTCCCCGAAAGGCATTGCGCTGCGGCTTCTCAGCTGTGACTGTGGGGGCAGCCAGCGAGGCGCACGTCGCCGCCTACGGAGCGCACCCTGGTGCACACCAGAGTGTGCCCGGTGCGAAAACTCGGGCTTTCCTCACATTCCTCCTGCATGCTTTGCCCGACTCAACCAGCCAAAACATCAAGCACAACGACTGCCAGTGGGTTGTGGGTGTCTGGCATGCCCCGTCTGCTGATGATATCTCTGGTTGGAGCCCTCATTCGGGCATATGGGCTCGCGTTCATGCGAAGGCTGCTGACATCGGTACTGACAACATAAACGGGCACAAAGTGAAGGCCCACCTCACCGTCTCCTCCCCTGTCCAGGCCTCCTGGTCGACAAGGGGGAACGATCGCGCTGACCAGTTTGCGAAACTTGGTGCTCGTCGTCATGCTGTCGATGGGGCGGCGATGGAACGTCTGAGTAGGTCGCATCATAATAGGGCACATCGGTAAATAACGCGGTGTTGTTTTGTCTCCTGTTTTGCCGCGTCTTAATGATATCCGCACCCTGCCCGTGTAACCCATCCTTCCCCGTATCCTGGGTGTTTGAACCCGCCTGCTTCCGTTGTGATGCCGTCCACCAGGGTCCCACATGAGTGGGCATAGGATCAGGCTGTGCAGCATTTTCGGCGCATTGCATGCTGAGCCTCCAGCAATTGCAAGTTCGAGCTTCATGAAGCTCCGTGTGCAGCTCCACACGGATTCGGCCATTTCGTTTTGCGTCCCAATAGGTGTGTGTTTCGCAAGCTGTGTGGGTCCCACCCGTCCACAAATGTCGGCCACCTGAGATTTATGTCGCCGGCGTCCAGAATCAGCCACTGCCAAATCCAGAATTGGCAGGTTGATGCAAGGATTGGACCCCAAGGCAAATCGGTCCACAGGCCCCTTTCTACCAGTGCGAACATGCGTGTATGACGAATTGGGGAACCAGCAGCTGTGGACCCTGATCTTGTGATGGTCCCCCATCGCGATCCCTGACCTCTTGAATCTTGCTGTTGAGCCCCTGCATTGAACAGGAAGCATGCCGCATGTGGTTCCAAGATGAGGGTCCGATGAGATGCGGGCTAGACTCCGAGCAAATGTGCGAGACGCCGGCGTCCACCCAGGATGGCCGGCCGTGCCTGGGGTTATCCAATACAGTAGGACAAAGAATCTAGCAGCGGATGACAGCCGTCATCCACATCTGTGCTACGGAATTGTGATCTGCAGTTTCTTGTTCCCCCCTGTGGGGCCTGCCTGGGGTTAGCGGCTCGTGCTAAGTGCGGCCGTCCCCTCTCGTTGCTCGCTTTTCCCTTTCCTTTGACCTGCCTCCTCTGAGGCAGGCCACCGTCCTCGTCCTCGTTCCCCCTCCCCCTGCTCCCGCCTACCCCTCCCAGACACCACGCTGCCTAGGGGGAGGGGGGGAAGACCCAGACATCCGACGTCTTGTGCTTCTGCGCATGGACCATTTCCCCAGGCCATCCCAGGACAGGCTTTTCATCCTCAGTCGTCTTTTGACGGCACCGCGGCCAGGCAAGGGCCCAGGGCCCGAGTGGCCAAAATTACCAGAAAAGCGTCCGTCGTACATTTTTCGTGCCGCAGCGGGCCGGGGCAGGAAGAAGGCGAACGACAAATCCCACCGTCGTCACCGACACCATCCCGGCTGATCTTCCGAGCCGCGCCGAGGCCGTGACGACGGCACAGGAAGGCCACCCCGAGGGCCACCAGAGGCTCCCGATCGACCGCTGCGAGTAAACGAGGGGAGCGCATCCGCTCGGGAAAGGGCCTGGACATGATCTGCGGGCACTCTCCTCCTCCACCGCATCCACCTCTTCTACCTCCTCCTCCTCCTCCTCCTCCTCCTCCTCCTCCTCCTCCTCCTCCTCCTCCTCCTCCTTCTCCTCCTCCTCCCCCTCCTACTCCTCCCCCTCCTCCTCACATCCTTCCCCTCCTCCTTCTCATCCTCCTTCTCCGTGGAGTCCCTCTGGACTTCCTAGGAATCCTCTGGAGGACCCCGTGGGATCCCTGAGGTCCCCTTGAGGCTCCCCCGAAGCTCCCCGAAGGGCCACGTAAACAGGGCCGCGAAGCCCCCTTCTGGTCACGCAAAGATACAAGCGGGATCGTGCAGAGGAGAAGGGGGCTTCTGCTATGCTGAACTCAACGCCCCCCAATAGTCAGAAAGGAGGGGTAGGGGGAGGAGAGCCAGCGGAGGAGGGAGCTGGTTCCAGGGGGTAATTGGAGGGAGAAAGCAAGACAAGACAGGGACAATCGCTTTGGAGCTCCAAGAGTCGACTTCAAAAATTGAAAAACCCAACGCGGTGATAAATCAGCTCAGACCACCTCGCAGAAGAAGGAGGCGAGCCAAAGCAGGCGGCCTTGAGAAGCAGCCCAGTCTCCCCCAAGGGCCGCCGCGCGAGCTCCTTCGAGATGGCGGCGACGTGGGTCGGCGATCCAGTGTCGCTGAAAGCCACCACGGAGGCGTACATAGCGCCTCCACGGGGGAATGGGCAAGGAACACTGTGTACATATACACTTACAGCTGCAATTCGCCGCCCCAGAGGGCCAGAGGCGTGTTAAAATCTCTGGTGGCATGCTTATAACAGTTCTAGTTCGCGGGCGTGGGGCCGCACCTGGGGGTCGCTGGGCGAAAAATACCTTACGATATGTCTGGCACGGTCCAGGCAAGGCTCTGGCAAGGTCCCCTCAGATATGGTTTGCTCCTGGGTGCGGCCTTCCAGACCCCTCGGAGCGCCCCAGGAGCGCTCCGAGGGACCTCCAAGAGAGCTCAACGTAGTACGAGACGGCACAAGCGCGCCCAAAGGCGCCCAGGATCAACCCTGGATAACATCAAGAGAAGCCCAAGAGAAGCCACAAGAAGGCCCCCCAAAACGAACGGTCAGGTAATCAATGCGTATATGTAAACAGCTACACACATGTGTGCCTGTGTACACACTAATAAAGCGAAAAGAAAGGATCGACCCACGAGCCGGGAAATGAATTTCGAAATGCGAAACATGGCCACTTTGTCAAGACACCTGATTGGGCCACGGACAAGTGCAATACTGAAAGCATAGATGGTGGTGTACCGTGCCAGAGGCTATGTTGTGCCGTGCTGAACTGCGTGAAATGCGTCATGCCGCGATGAACTGCGTTGCGCTCTATAGCGTTGTGGACCAAATCGCCCTCAGAATCAGAATCCTGACCAAACTGAGATGGATCTGAAGCTCGAGCTGCCTGGGAACTGATCTCGCCCAGAGCTGGGTGCGATCAAAACGTGCGGGGCGCTCAAAACACTCGAGCTCAAGATCCGATTCAGCTCCGAAGCGGGACGAGCCAAGACGGGGCGAATCCGAACCGAGGCCAAACGCACCGACAATGGACGGACCGAAACGCGGCGAATCAAGACGCGCCGAGCTGAGGCAAGACGAGCTGATCAATGCGAACCCAAGCGAGGGCCGAACCGACCCTGACCAAATCGGGGCAAAACGGACCGAAACTGGGACGAGCCGAATTCGTTTTGGCCCACCGTCCTGAAACCACACGGCATCTCCTGCCGAGGGAGCCGAACTACGAGGGCCAAGAACCCCGCGTAATTTACCACGGATGTGCGCCTCCAAGGCCGCGATCCTGGTGCAAATGGCGACTGAACCGCATTTTACTGACCTGGCTGCGTCAAGCCCTGTTGCCGTGTTCCGTACTTTATCGCGTTGTGGACCAAGGCATCCTTGGCATCCGAATCCTGACCCAATTGTTATAGATCTTACGCTTGAGCTGTCTGGACGCATAGCTCGCCCAGCACTGAGAATGCAATCGAAACGTGCGGGGCGCTCAACCAGTTCGAACTCAAAATCCGATTCCGGGACGACCCCGAACCTAGGCGGAACGCACCGACAGTGGACGGACCAAATCGCTGCGAACCAAGACGCGACGAACTGAAACAGGACGAGCCGAAACAATACGAACCGAGACGACGGCCGAGCCGTGTACAAATACGTTTTAGCTCACGGCCGACGAGAACGCATGTAAAAAGCACTTGGCGTTAGCTCACTGGCGAAAGGATCCAGTGTAAAAACACGTGGTTTCAGCTTGCGGGCGAAAAGAGCCCATGCAAAAACACGCGGTCCCAGCTCACGGGCGAAAAGCACCCATGTACAGACACATGGTTTCAGCTCACGGGCGAACGAAACTCATGTAAAAACCCGGTGTCAGCTCACGGGCGAATGACACGCATGTAAAAACACATGGCTTCAGCTCACGGGCGAAAGGAACCCATGTAAAAGAAAGTAGGGTCAACTCACGGGCGAAAGGAGCCCATGTAAAAACATGTGAGTTCAGCTCACGGGCAAAAGGAACCCATGAAGAAGCACTTGGGTTTAGCTCATGCTTATCCTCCTCCTCCTCCTCCTACTCCTACTCCTACTCCTCCTCCTCGCAGAAGAAGCCTCCTGCTCAAAACTTACACGCAGTCCACTGTCAAACGAGGCCCTTGCTCGAGACATCCTCGCAATTTGCTCAGGCAGAAAACCCGACGACCACATATCAAATACACCCTCTGGGTGGCCTAGACACGTGAAAGCACGTGCCAAGTGCACGGGCGCAGAACGTATGTTCGATACCCCCTCCGCGCACGTATTTCTACGTGCGAAGGATCCGACGACCTCATGTTAGACATCTTCCTGAGTGGCCTGGACACGTGAACGCAAGCGTTTCGGTCGAGACATCCTCGACGGATTCTGCAGAGCAAACCTTTCGCTCGAGACATCCTCAATACCTGCAAAACAAGCGTTTCGCTTGAGGCATCTCCAACAAGTCATGTAAAACAAGCGTTTCGCCAAAAACATCCTCATTATATCAATTCTTTGGCCCTGCGCGACCCCGTTATTTTGTTTCCCCAGCAACGCACCGAATGCTGCACACAGTTTCGATTCCGGCGCTGGCCGGGGCGGACAAGTTCTAAGGCCACCAAAAAGATCTACCCCTGCCAATTAACGGTGATCCTCTGCAAGTGGAGGGCCAGGGACAGGTTGACCTACAATACGGAGCCCGGGGCCCCAGCCATTTTCGGGAAAAGGATGAACAGAAAGGGGTGGAGGAGTGATATGACGAGCAGGAGGAAGAGGAGGAGGAGGAGGAGGAGGAGGAAGGAGGAGGAGGAGCAGAAGGAGGAGGAAGGCGAGAGGGCAACTGATCACAAAGAGGAGGAGGCGGAGGAGGAGGACGAGGAGGAAGAAGATGAAGAACATGCAGAAAACATGGATATGGAGTGCATGATCGGCCGAAGAACTTGGAAAGGGATTTAGAACTGCGAGGCATGCGAACATGTCCAAGCACCTCGATTGGGCGATGGGAAATGGCAATGCTAGAGATATCCATGGTGATGATGCTGTGCCAGGGGACGCGATCTGCTGCTCTGCGCTGTGCCATGCCGCACAGTGGCGTGCCAGGGGACGCGCCACGGAACGTGCCAATGGACGCGCCTCTGGACTTGCCAGGGGATGCGCCGCGCGATGTGCCGACACGGAACGTGCCGGCGGAACGCGCCACCGAAAATGCCAGCGGACGTGCCAAGGGGCGCGCCACACGACGCGCCCAGGGGACGCGCCACGGGACGTGCCAGGGAACGCGTGCCCGAGGGCCACGATCCTTCGTGAATTACAGGGCGTCCGTGCTCCCAGGTCCAAGATCCCTTGTAAATTACGCTGTGTCCGCGCCCTCAGTGCCGCGCTCCCTTTTGTAAATTACGCGGGAGTGACGCTCCCTTCCCAGCGCCAGGATCCCTCGTAACTTGCGCTGTGTCCGCGCTCCCAGGGTCAGGATCCATAATAAATGACGCTGCGTCCATCCCCCTGAGGGCCAGGATCCTTCGTACCTTACACAGCGTCCGCGCTCCCATGGCCACGATCCCTCATAAATAACGGTGCGACCGCACGCCCAGAACCACTTTGGCATCCTGGGGCGCCCAGGCCCCTCAAGTTCTGCAAAACAAGCGCTTCGTCGAGACATCCTCGAGATTTCTTCGAGCAATCATCGAGCGGACACGCAACAAATCAACAATGCCCATACTTTCTGAAGATGATCGACCCACGAATCCGGAGAGTGATTTTGAGCTGCGTGGCATGGGAACGTTTCCATGCACCTCAATTGGGCGATGGGCAGTGGCAATGCTGAAAATATCGATGGTGGTGATACTGTGCCAGGGGTGGCTGTGTTGTGCTGCGCTGCGCTGTGCCATGCCGCACAGTGACGTGCCAGGCGACGCGCCAAGGGACGTGCCACAGGACGCGCTGTGGGACATGCCAGGGGGACGCGCCGCGGAACGTCCCAAAGGACGCGCCAAGGGACATGCCAGGAAACGTACCATGGGGACACACCGCGGGACGTGCCAAGGGGACGCGCGACGGAACGTACCAATGGACGCGCCACGGGACGCGCCACGGAACGTGCCAGGGAACGCGCCAGGCGACGCGCCAGGGGACGTGCCATGGGACGAGTCAGGAAACGTGCCACGGGACGTGGCAAGGGACGCGCCAGAGACGCGCCAAAGGACGCGCCGCAGATCACCTGGAGACTCCTAGGATATCCGCGCCTCGCCATGAGTCGAGATGTTAAGGGCAACGCGGTTCCTCGTAAATTACGCTGCGTCCGCGCTCCCTGGGCTTCGATCCTTCGCAAATTTCGCTGGGCCCGCACTCCCCGTGCCACGATCATGCTGCGTCCGCTCCCCCAAAGCCACGATCCCTCGCAAATAACGCTGCGTCCGCGCCCCCCGTGCCACGACCCCTCGAACATGAAGCTGGATTCGCGCTCCCAATTCCAAGATGCCTCGTAAATTACGCTCGATCCCTGGTAGGGGGGAACGCATGCGGGCGGTAGCACTGGGGCCGTCGGTGAAGCTCCCAATGGGGCCACGAAACCCTGTACTGGGTAGGGGGGCGCATGCGGGCGGTAGCGCTGGGACCGTCGGTGAAGCTCCCTATGGGGCCACGAAGCGCTGTCCTGGGTGGGGGGAGACGCATGCGGGCAGTAGCACTGGGGCCGTCTGTGGAGCGCCCTACGGGGCAACGAAGCGCTGTACTGGGTGGGGGGGACGCATGCGGGCGGTAGCACTGGGGCCGTCGGTGGAGCTCCCTATGAAGCCACGAAACGCTGTGCTGGGTGGAAGGGACGCATGCGGGCGGCAGCACTGAGGCAGTCGGTGGACCTCCCTAGGGGGCCACGACACGCTGTACTGGTTGGGGGGACGCATGCGGGCGGTAGACCTGGAACATTCGGTGGAACTCCCTATGGGGCCACGAAACGCATGCGGGCGATAGAATTTGGATCTTCTGTGGAGCTCCCTACGGGGCCACGAAGCGCTGTACTGAGTGGGGGGACGCATGCGGGCGGTAGCACTGGGGCCGTCGGCGAAGCTCCTATGGGGCCACGAAACACTGTACTGGGTGGGCGAAACGCAAGGAGGAAGGAGGGGGAGGAGGGAGGAGGGGGAGAAGG